CAGGGCCTTTTTTTGTAGCAGGAACTCCTTTGCATGCTAGGCCACACACCCCTAATGTAGCCAATCCTAATGAGTTTCTGCTGTTGGGTGTGGCCTAGTATGCTAATGAGTTCCTGCTGGGCGTGGCCAACTTGGGAGCCAGCCGGAACTCCGTTCCTGTGCGTTCCTGCCCAAAAATGGCCCTGTCAAGAGGTATCCACATGTGCATGCACACACCTTTGCATGTGAAGTACAGAGGGGAAAGCCCTCATTTTATATGTGCAGGGCTGATATTTCTTTAGAATATTTATCTCTCCCCCCCATACATGGTTGAGGTTGCTAATAACATTGGGGAGGGGGGATAAAGGTAACACACAACATCATATTTTTTAAAAAACTAGTAAAACAAATTTACTAGTGTGGTGTAGTGGTTAACAGTGTTGGACTAGTATCTGGGACACCCATGTTTGAATCCCCACTCTTGCCATGGGTGACCTTTGGCCAACCTTGAGCCAGTCACATTCTCTCAGCCTAATCTACCTCACAGGGTAGTTGTCAGGATAAAATGTAGGAGAGGAGAATGAGGTAAGCTCCTTGGGGGAGAAAGTTGGGGTACAAATGAAATAAATAAGCAAATCCATCAACAGAAGAAGCACCCCCATCTATAACCCAGTATAAGAACAGTCCCAGGACCATGAAATCGCCAGGCAAGTGGGGAAACAGGCCAACAAAACAACTAGAAAAGCCCTTTCAGTTAAAAGAATAAAGTTTGAGTCCAGTGGCACCTTTAAGACCAACAAAGCTTTATTCAAGGTGAGCCTTTGTGTGCTTTTTCTTAGAAATTTCCCACCCTAGTTGAACCCAAACAGATTAGCCATAAAGCAAGTTTATTATTCTTTTAATCTGTCGAAACCATTTTCATTATTCAGCATGTTAATTCACTGCCCACCCTCTATATGCATGACTGTTATTTCTATTTCACTTTCATTGTGTCTGAGGAAGTGTGATTGCACAGGAAAGCTCACCTTGAATAAAATGTTGGTCTTAAAGGTGCTGCTGAACTCAAACTTTGTTCTGCCGCTTCAGACCAACATGGTTACTCAGCAGATTGTATTTTAGTTACAAGCTTAGGCGAACAGAAATATTTTTGCCTGGCACGTAAATGTTAACAGAATGGGTGCTGCGGTGGAATGCACAAAGTTCCAGGTTCAGTCTCCGGCATCTACAGTTCAAAGGATCAGGTAGCAGGTAATGCGGAGAGCCTCTGCAGCTACTCAGAGTAGACAGTACTGACTTTGACAACCAATGGGTTGACTCAGTATAAGGTAACCTCATGTGTTCAGGGAAGGCCTCAGTTTGGCCTCAGGTGAAAGGGCATTCCCAGGGCTTTTTTTGTAGAAAAAGCCCGGCAGGAACTCATTAGCATAACAGGCCACATCCAACAGGAGAAACCTATTAGCATGGGCCATACCCCTGACAGCACAGCTCATTAGCATATTAGGCCACACCACACATGTTACCAAAAGTGTGGTCATCCAACCACACCCACCTTTTGCTTCTTATTCTGTTTACTTTGTTGTCAAAACCCTGGGCTTTTTTTGTAGCAGGAACTTCTTTGCATGTTAGGCCACACACCCCTAATGTAGCCAATCCGAATGAGTTTCTGCTGTTGGGTGTGGCCTATTATGCTAATGAGTTCCTGCTGGGCATGGCCAACTCAGGAGCCAGCCGGAACTCTGTTCCTGTGCGTTCCTGCCCAAAAATAGCCCTGGGCTGCATTCCACAACAAGGGTGCCTCACTGAAAAAGCCCTGCCTCTTCTGGCTTCTCTACAGGTGGGAGAGCTAGAGAGTGCGGCTTGGAGTGAAGATCTTAACTGGCAACCCAATACATGAATGAATGGCCATGGCTCACCCACCATTTTTAGTTTCACCGAAAGTAGTAGAGAGCCAATGTGGTGAGCTGGTTAAAGTGTCAGACCAGGATCTGGGTAAAAACCACTTTCCAATCCCCACTCTGGCTTGGAATATTACTGGGTGACCTTGGGCCAGTCACACGCTATCAGCCTAACCTACCTCACAGGGTTGTTATGAGGATAAAATGGAGGAAATAACGAGGTAAACTGCTTTTGGTCCCCAATAGAGAAAAAGGTGAGATAGAAATAATGTAAGTAAATAAATATTAGTGTGTTGTCCGCCCGTAAAGCCAGATCATAAGCACTACAGTCTACTCCCCTCCCCTGTCTTACCTGAACAAATGTAATGCCCTGTCTTGTACTAACGTGCAAAGATGATGGTGAATACTTACCCTTGCTGAACAACTGCACCCGATTTCATCCATGCTTGTTGCCAGCATCACTAACCCCCTCCTTCCTCACCATTTACCCCCTGGATAATCGCAAACAACATGTTCTGCTCGCCCTAGGTCATAACCAAAGACATGGCAAGTCTAGAAGTAGATACCGTCTGCTACTACCGAATGGAAAATGCCACGCTTCTCATAACGACCCTTGCCAACCTCTCAAGCGCAGTCCAGCTACTGGTGCAGACTATCGCAAAGCGTTCACTGGCGCATCGATCCCTCACAGAGATCCTCATGGAAAGGAAGACCATTGGCCAGGAAATAAAGGTGGGTGGGGTCAAGGCTGCTGGGAGCAGGGGTCTAGGGGACAAAGTTCTCCGTACTCTGGTTGCTCTGGGGACTGGAAAGCAAGGCTAGGTGCCTCTGATGTGTGGCTATAAGTTCAACGGCCCCCTTATTTAGGGAAAAGGAAGGAAAAAGTGGAAAGGTGGAAAAACCCTGTAATGGAGGTTTCCCCAAATGTTGTGATAAAATACCTAGATAAAGAACAGCAGCCAATGAAAAGTTGCCAATGAGATGTTACTGTTTTGTACCCACTGTAGGTCCTAGTTGGCTGGGAGATTCATGATCTTGTGTGGAAAGTGCCATCAAGTCAAAACTGACTTATGGCAATCCCATAGGGTTTTCAAGGCAAGAGACGTTTAGAGGTGTTTTGCCATTGCCTGCCTATGTGGAATTCCGTGGTAGTCTTCCCATCCAAATACTAGCCCTGTAGAGTGTTTTAAATAACTTGCACCACCCTGGACAGCTCCTGTTTCCTGCAGTATTCAGTTCGGACCAATGGACCTCCCCCCAGGGCTGAATAGGGACAGAGGATTCTTATCTCACTACAGATGCTAATTTTCTGCCCCCTAGCATTTCCCCTCTGCTCTAATCAAAGCTGATTATAATATGCATTGTACCTTTACATCCTTTACAAGCATGCTTTATTATACCCTTCCCACCTTCTGATTAGGACAAAAGGACTCGGAGGTCTCCATTCCTGTTCGTGTCTGACAAAGTGAGTTTTGACTGTCAAGAGCTTATACCCACACTGGTCTCTAAGGTGCTACAGGACTCAAATCTAACTGAAGTATTGAGCGATTTCACAGTATACAGTTTTGTATTAAATGGCTTGCTTAATCAAACCAGAGGTCCGTCTAAGACAATGATGTGTTTCCAACATTAGCCAGGATTCCTGCGTTTGCCCCAACCATCTAGGGTGGTCAGCCTCTAGGTGGCAACTGGAGATCTCCCACTGTTACAGTTGACCTCCAGACAACCAAGATAATCCCCCTGGAGAAAATGGATGCTTTGGAGAATGGATTCTATGGCATTATATCCTGCAGAAGTCCTTCCCCTCCTCAAACCCTGTCTTCCCAAGGCCCCACCCCAAAATCTCCAGGTATTTCCCAACCCAGAGTTGGCAACTCTACAACCATCTGATGATTTCTGAACCTAGAACAGCCAGCTGGCCAGAAAAGATAGACTGGCCTGCTCCCGTTCCTTTAAGAGAAGTTTAATCTGCAGAAGTCTGCAAGTGAAGTTTTCATGGCTTGGAGATAAGAATCACTTCCTAGTCGCTAAAAGGTAAAGGTTTCCCTTGCTTGAAAGCTAGTCGAATCCGACTCTAGGGGGCGGTGCTCATCTCCGTTTCCAAGCCAAAGAGCCAGCGCTGTCCAAAGACGTTTCCATGATCATGTGGCCGGCATGACTAAACAGCAAGGCGCGCGGAATGCTGTTACCTTCCAACCAAAGTGGTACCTATTTATCGACTTGCAATTTCTTCCTTTCAAACTGCTAGATTGGCAGGAGCTGGGGCCAGAGACAGGAGCTCACTCCGCCATGCGGCACTAGGGTCTTGAACTGCCGAACTACTGACCTTCCAGTCTGCAGCTCAGCATCTTAACCTCTGAGCCACCTAGTCACTAGGTAAAGGTAAAGGTTTCCCTTGCTCGAAAGCCAGTCGAATCCAACTCTAGGGTTGTGGAGCTCATCTCCGTTTCGAAGCCAAAGAGCCAGTGCTATCCGAAGACGTTTCCGTGGTCATGTGGCCAGCATGACTAGATGCCGAGGCACATGGAACACTGTTACCTTCTCTCCCTAAACCTTGCACTCCACCGCCCCCAAATCTCCATGTTGTTCCTAAGTGGGAGTTGCCAACCTGACACACCCCTCAACGGGATACCAGGTGATCTGGGTTAATAGAGGGAATGAGGAAAGCTGTACCCAGAGCACTTTCGATTGGCCCCAATCCAGGAGGACACACCTAAGGAATTTATGCAGCCAAGGCAGTTTAGTTCCAGAACAGATCCACCCAGCCTTTTCACTTTCACTCAGTCATCTGTGGGGGAAAAGATTGTTTGGGCATAGATCAAGTTTACTGCCCAGATGCCGACTCATAACACTATGATAATCTTATACTCTCCATCCACAGATTGCTTTTTTAAGTCAAAAGAAAGACCAGGAAGTGATGAGGCTCTCAACAAGTTGGCCTCTTTCTGGTCCATAAAGGGTCAAAGTCCAACTAAAAGTACTACTTAAAGAGCCAGGATGGATAGGGTTGACTGGAGAAATATGTCATAAGAACATAAGAGAAGCCAGTGCTGGATCAGGCCAATGGCCCATCCAGTCCAACACTCTGTCACACAGTGGCCAAAAATACCAGGTGCCATCAGGAGGTCCACCAGTGGGGCCATTTAAGGGATGCTCTGTGCCTTTAAGGGATGCTTAACTTGTGGTAATTGGGGGCTAAAGATTTCCATGCTATGGAGGCAAATATCATTATCCGGTAAATAATTTCCCATCTGGCCTCTGTTAAAGGGACAGGACATTTTCCCTTCAGGCATTTGACAACCATAGGAATACTGTATTTATATAGTCTCTCATGTGCATTTCGTATGTATTATCTGTTTACTATATGTATTATCCTGCACTCACTGCATTGTTTTATACTTACAGAATACCATTTTCTGCATTGTGTAACATATTGTGTCTAATGCTTTATGTTTCAGATTTCGAGCAAGGGAAACCTTTACCTTTTAGTCCTATTGCATTGCTTACTAGATGTCTCATCGTATTGATTGCATTGACTTACACTGTATAATTTGCCTTAAGTCTCAGTGAGAAAGGTGAACTATAAACAAAGTGAATACAATAACAGAAAATCTACATTCCTTCTGGGATAACCAAATACTCAGTGTTTCAGAATACCTTTACAGCAAAGGAAGCCTGAGAAATCAACTTCCCATCGAAAGTGTCAAATAGTTTTAAGTCCCTTGTTCCACCATCCAAGGCTATGATAATTAATAAGCCACCTTTTTTGCAGGTGGCTGTAGATGCTGTTACCTGCCAATGGGGGATCAAGGTGGAGCGGACAGAAATGTAGGTATCAAAAGCATTTGTGTGCAGAAATAGTAACAAAATGGCAGAGAAGAATAGGGATTAGAGGGTGTTTGTAAAATTTTGATTCCACTTTCTTAAATATCTTCTGCTCCTGCTTTTTGCCTTCACATTCCCCATCCATAGACTGGTTTTTAGTGCAAAAGAAAGACTAGAAGTGATGAGGCTGTTAATGAGTTGCCCTTTTCTGGTCCATAGAGAGCTAAAGTCCACCTACTAGTAAGAACATAAGAGAAGCCATGTTGGATCAGACCAATGGACCATCCAGTCCAACACTCTGTGTCACGCAGTGGCCAAAACCCAGGTGCTCTCAGGAAGTCCACCAGTGGGGCCAGAATTCCAGAAGCCCTCCCAGTGTCGCCCCCCAAGCAGTAAGACTATAGAGCGTCACTGTAGTGCTACTTAAAGAGCCAGGTTGGATAGTGGATGGTCACTTCTCTGGACAGAAGGACATCACTCTCCATCCACGGATGCTCAATGACATCCCTCCCCTGACACTGTGAGTTCTGTAAGTGGGAAAAAGTGTGTTATAGCCAGGAGTACTTGCTTAAAATCTCTGGTTTAAACCAACATCACCATACTACCACATGAAACTAACAAAAGTCCAGAAAGCACAGTCAACTGGCTGTCCAGTCAACTTCCACTAAGTATTTAATAGTGCAATCCTAGGTAGAGTTACTCTAGTCATATGATTGTATTTGTAAGCTGCTTAGACCTTTAGGTAGCCCAAAGGTAGCCCAAAGTGTAGACCTTTAGGTATCTACGCTAACTTCTTTGACTGGTCAAGTGTCTTTGGGTCCCCGATTCCCTCCTTCCAATGAAGAAGTGAATGTTATGGCCAATTACTCACAACAGTCCTAGCTGCAAGATAGTTCTGGCCACAATTTGAAGGTGTCTTGTTACCTTGTGGGGTGAGGGAGTTGGCATAAGCAGCTCAGATCTTCCAGTGCTGCCTGTGCTAACCAGTGCAAGAATTTAGGCATTTATAGCTCACTTTTCCTCTGGAGATCTCACGTGGGCACAGAATTCCCAGATACTCTAACATCTAGGCAGTATTGCCAGCTAGATGGATTCACACCACGCCCCCTTGCCTTAGCTCCTGCCTCCCATAAGAATAATTCCCAGTATGATTTTCCTTCACATATCTATCTGAGGAAATGAGCTGTGACCCATGCCTCCTCTAAGCTGTGGGAGTCTTGTGAGCAAAATTTCTCCTTTGTGAGCTACTGGCATTAAAGTTCTGAGTGAGCGATTTGGCTACTGCATAAATTAGGTTGCTCTGGAGCCATCCTTCCTGAGCTAAGACAAAAATGTGGGAGCCGGAGGCTCACACTTACTCAGCTTAGAGGGAACACTGGTTGTGACTCACAAAAGCAGATATTGAAATAACTGCTAAGTCTTTAAGGTGCCACTGGACTTGTGTTTTATTATGCTTTGAAAAGACGGTCGTGAAGGTACCCTGCAGCCAGCTGCCCTGTGGGCTGGTACCCAAAGTAAACATCTGGTTGGTTCTGACCAGTGTTCCCTCTAAGCTGAGTTAGTGTGAGCTAGCTCACCGTTTTTTAGCCTCTGGCTCACACATTTTCGTCTCAGCTCAGGAAGGATGGCCCCAGAGCAAACTAATTTATGAAGTAGCCAAATTGCTCACTCACAACTTTAATGCCAGTAGCTCACAAAGTAGAATTTTTGCTCACAAAACTCCACAGCTTAGAAGGAACATTGGTTCTGACAGCAGGTTAGCCATGGCAGTAAAGACCTTCTGCATGTCTGAGTTTTGTTCCTGTCTGAACTAAACTGTTGCATTACGTAGAATTGTTTCACGTGGTTTCCTGCTGGGAGACTGCAGGCCGAGTCGCCAGGATACCTATTTCTCTTTCAGAAAAGATGTACGACTGCCAGTTGAGCTGCAGGAGTCCCTGGCTGTACAAGCAGAAGCCCAGCGCCAGGTCAAAGTAAAGGTAAGAGCACACTCATGCAGTGTTCCCTCTAAGCTGAGTTAGTGTGAGCTAGCTCAGTTTTTTAGCCTCTGGCTCTCACGTTTTTGTGTTAGCTCAGGAAGGATGGGGCTCCAGAGCAAACTGATTTATGCAGTAGCCAAATCGCTTGCTCACTTTAATGCCAGTAGCTCACAAAGTAGAATTTTTGCTCACAAGACTCCACAGCTTAGAGGGAACATTGCGTGTCCTGTGTTTTCATGCCTGGAGATCTACAAGAACAGCTTCCTTGGTCAGATCGCCATTAAGTTCCACTGCTCAGTGGTGCAGAATCTACTTGGCAAGCAGAAGGTATTGGGTTAGGGCTGCCAGCCTCCAGGTGGTGGCTGGAGACTTCCTGTTACAACTGATCCCCAGGTGACTGAGATCAGCTCACCTGGAGGAAAATGGCCACCCTATCTTGGGTTCAGTTCCTGGCATCTTCAGTGACAGGGATCAAGAGATAGTAGGTGACATGAAATACTTCTATTTGAGACCCGGAAAAGCTGCTGCCGATCAATATCGCCCTGAAACCTCCAGATATTTCCTAACCCGAGGCCGGCAACCCTATCTTGGGTTCAGTTCCTGGCATCTCCAGTGACAGGGATCAAGAGATAGTAGACGACATGAAATACTTCTATTTGAGACCCGGGAAAAGCTGCTGCCGATCAAGTTAATAATACATACCTTGATATTTTTGACCCAGTATAAGGCAGCTTCGTGTGCTCAGTGCTAAATTTATATACAAACCAGTCCAGGGTTTATAATCTGTGAGATCACCCCCTGACGTGCCTACATTACTTCTGGGTCACTTAGGCACGTTGTGTTAATTTCCAGCATTCCTCCTGCTTCCGGTAAGTGCCCCCCGCCCCAGCAGCTCCAAGAGACTCCTGACGTGCCTACATTACTTCTGGGTCACGTAGGCACGCTGTTTTAATTTCCAGCGTTCCTCCCGCTTCCGGTAAGTGCACCTCCCCCCCCCAGTGGTTCCAAGAGACCTGGCAAACCTACCTACTAGGGAAACATGTATATACCAAGGGCTACAAATAAATTTCCCCAGTGGGGCAAATGGCACCTCCCAGGGGGACATGTCAGGTTGGGAAAATATTGTGGGGGAAGCACAAGACCCCTGTCTCCACATGCTATGGCACCAATCTGAATTGGCCCCAAGACCTTACCTCCAAGTGTAGAACCTACAAGTCTAATCCAAAGTCCTCATAGTAGCCACAAGAGGGACAGGTCTTTATGTTGCTCTTGCCAAGGGCAGCTACCTGCACACAGACGGGGATATTTAACTTTCTCATTTCTGTGATGCAGGTGCTCCAAATCAGCCAAGCAGAGTGGGTAGAACAATATTTATTGCTGGTGTACATCATAGTGCCTCAACCAGGTCTTCATCTCGGAACAGCCCACAAACAGAAACAACCCACTCCCCCCCCCCGCTTGGATTTGCCCAATGATATTCCTCAACAATGACCAACTAGGTCACTAGGTGGCAACAACAACTGAACATATATTATACTTTCCAGTGTGAATAGCAATGAGTCCTTTTGCAGAACCCTTTCCAACAGCAAGCCCAATGTCATGGTTAAAGACCTTGGGGATCCAGGTTTCCATCTGTCTATTATATTTCATACAGCCATTCTTCCACTCAGCCCAGGGCAGCATAAGAGGTTCTCACTCCCCCATTTTGTTCTTGCAAGGACTGGGTGAGGTAGACCAGGCTGAGAGAAGAGGACTGGCCCAAGACTATCCAGTAAGCTTCACGGTTGAGTTAAGGATTTGAACCCAGGTCTCCTCATCTGTCATGCAAACCACTACTCTGTCCTTCTGACGCTCACCGGGTAGAGCTTTCAGTCTCCAGGTAGGGTCTGGAAATCTCCCAGAATTGCAGCAGATCTCCGGACCACAAAGATCAGTTCCCCTGGAGAAAATGGCTACTTTGGAGGGTGGACTCTAGGGCATTACATTCTACTAGATTCCCTTCCCCAGGCTCCACCCCCCAAATCTCCAGGGATGTCTCAACCTTCAGTTGGCAACCCTCTTTTTGGGTGACTTTGGCCCAGTTACACTTCCTCAATCTAACCTACTTTACAGGACTGTTATGAGGACAAAATGGGGACGGGGAGAATACAAATACAAATGAAAGAACTCAGCAAATACACTCACCATTAGAGAGGATGCTTATGCAGAGACAGAGGCAAAGCATTCTTTATTTCGTCCAACCCACCTGTATTAAACGGTCATGGAAACTTAAGCAAAGGGGCTTTCCTTAGAAGCTTCTCTGGCAAAAAGAAACATTCTGTAAAAGCATTTGTGGCATTTCAGATCGGGAGGAGGGTGTTAAAAAGAGCCCTTTGCCCATAGCTCCTTTTATATGGAAGGGGGTCCATTCAAAATCTTGCCCCTGTGTGTTTGCATGTAGGAGTTCATTGGGGTTTTTTAATGCAAACTCGGAGTTGTGTTGAAGCCAAAAGGGCACAACAGGGTGAAGCGGAACAAAAACGGAGGGAGGGAAAGTAAGCCAATTTAGGGATTCAGCTTGAAACTGAGGAGCCCAGAGATTTTAAACTCCTACACAATACAGATTTGACAAGAAAACCCCTTCCAATGACCTTGTGTTCTAGGTGATAACTGCCGAAGGAGAAAGGGCTGCTTCCGAATCCCTGAAGCGGGCTGCTGAGATCCTGTCCAACACCCCGGCCGCCATCCAGCTTCGTTACCTGCAGACTTTACAAGCCTTGTCTGCGGACAGACCGCCCACCCTTGTTTTACCTTTGCCCTTTGATCTCATGAACCTTTCAGCCGGGGCCAGCCAGAAACCCAGCAGCTGTAACCTGCCTGCAGATACCCCCATCCACCCAGAAGTTCCCAAGGACCAAAAGGACTCCCCCATGCTATAGGAACACAACAAAAACAAAACAGAGAATCTCGATTGCAGGACGTGGCTGATGCAGGCTTGGGTGAGCTCCACGGTTCCTGTAGTTAAAGGGCCTGCTTAAATCTCAAAACACACAAAGTCAAAGAGTGGGGTCCGTTTCACACATTAGGTGGCAGTGAACCCAGACATGCTTGATATGGTGCTGCAGTCAGATAATTTTCTTGGAGGGTATCACAACAGACTTATTCTGGTTTAGCTATTCTGGTCTCCCCCAAGATTCTCATGAAAAGGGTGGATGAAGGTAATGGAGATCTCTATTATTTAAAAAATTCTGAGGAAAAACTATCATGAAGAGAGTTGCTCAGCAGCAGCAAGAATCATTCACAGCACTTCTAAATGCCCCCAAAGCACGGTGTGAGGTGATTGAAAATCCCACTGTTATTTCCTCAGTTCTGAGGGATGAGCTCTCTCCCACCTCACTTTATGCTGGGTTTTGGGGACTGTCAGAAATAAAACAAGAACACCCCCCAAGTCTCTTGCTGTTTCTGCTGCTACCAATAACGAGTGAAAGAAAGATGCCTTAGCCACATTCTTTGTAATCAAGGGAAGAGCAGTGTTGTTTACTCACCTGGCTCCACATTTTGGAGGTTCTTGGAAGTTGTTTCTAGAATCTTCCAGCTGCCTCCCACACACATCCTCTGCATGTGCTAGAGAAGCGGACCCCTCCCCCAGTAATGGCTGACCAATGACACTAGAGGATGTCTCAAAGCCTCTCTGAGGAATATATAATGAAATATTTTTTAAAACCTTCCATTTTTGTGAGTGAATACACTGACAGGGAAACCCCACTCTTGACATTTTACATATAAATAAAGACTTGGGAAACAATCCATCAGGTTTCAGCTAATAGCTGTTCATGTACTGTGCTAATACACTAACAGGGTCCTAAGTAGCCCCTGCGTTCCAGAGATGAGCGGTCCTTAAACGACGTCCTACGTCTGCTACAAGTAGGAGCCCAAAGGCTTTCTCGAAAGGTCATGAGCTTCTTCAGCGCTTCGGTTTGGTGGACTTCTTAGACTTAGTGGATACTTTAGATCCAGCAAGCTGTGAAGCTGGCTTTTCCTTAAAACGGGTAACTGCAGTAAGAGATTAAAAGAGGCATTAAGCAGTTATGTTTCAGCCCATAGCCAACATGGACTAGCAAGGCTAATTCACCTTGTTAGCCCCTTGACATGAGAAACACCAATTCACAAAACCCACGTTCAAGGGCATCTGATGGGAATGTGCATGGTACGTGTGCTGGCAAACAAGGGTTCATTCCAGTTACCACCTTCTCCCATACGTTCTTGTGCTGCTGGCTGTTCCCCCCCATTGAGGGGGCCCACCTGGTATCGACCAGAGCCTCAGCCTTTTCCATCACGGATTCCTCTCTGTGGAATGAGCTTCCTGAAGCGATGAGGGGAGCCCCCTTGCTGGAGATCTTCTGGAAGCAAGTCTTGTTTATTTGCCAGGGCTTTTGATGAGTTATGAATAGCAGGCCTTTTTTAAGGGGGGGGAGGTATTTGGGGCATGCAATTTTTATTTAGGCTTTAACTTCTAGTGTTTTAACCGCCTCAAGCCAAAAAGGAAAAGTGAGGTCTAAATATATTAATAAGTAAATAATAAAATCGTAGTGAAGTGGATTCAGTGGCACACTTCCTCAAGCACCTTAAAGACAAGGGTTGCCAGATCCCTCCTGGCAACTGGCAGGGGATGGGTGGTGGGACTTATCAGGAGCAGGAGGGAGGCTCAGGCGATGTGGCTACATCACTTCCGGCCAGGGCTTTTTTTGTAGAAAAAGCCCAGCAGAAACTCATTAGCATAATAGGCCACACCCAACAGCAGAAACTCATTAGCATATTAGGCCACACCCTGAGATAACAGCTTATTAGCATATTAGGCCGCACCCCCACATTACCAGAAGTGTGGTCATCCAGCCACACCCAGCTTTTGCTTCTTATTCTATTTACTTTGTTTGTTGTCAAAACCCAGAGCTTTTTTTGTAGCAGGAACCTTTTACATGTTAGGCTACACACCCCTAATGTAGCCAGTCCTAATGAGTTTCTGCTGTTGGGGGTGGCCTATTATGCTAATGAGTTCCTGCTGGGCGTGGCCAACTCGGGAGCCAGCCAGAACTCTGTTCCTGTGCGTTCCTGCCCAAAAATAGTCCTGCTTCCGGCATATGGGAAGTGACGTCATTATGTTGCAATGTCAGGGTGACACTCTGAAATTTGGGCACAAAGTCTATGGAAAAAATAGCTTCTACTATAGAGTTTTTGCCCTGATACCAGAGTATCACTTGGATGTTGCCAATGTGATGACATCACTTCTGATGCAAGCAAGAGGTGGCGTCGCCACGTTGCTGGCGATGGGGCCTGAGCCTCCCTCTTTCTCCTGGCAAGTCTTTCCACTGGCCAGCTGATCTGTGGCAGCGGGTGAGGCCTGGTGGCAGGGGAACTCTGCGTTCACTGGGGGGGGGGTCTGGCAAACTTAACAAGAATACTGCACACAAAGCATGACTTTTGCAATTCCCAGCTTCTGCAGCAGCTCTGAAATCCTGCTCCTGGGGGTCCCCTCTCCCACAACAGCCAAATTGGGGGAGGAGGTATTTTGGCCTGCCACAGGAGAAGGGAGCCATGAAAGTTACACTCCACGTGTGAAAGTCCTTGGTGCCATGGAAATGCGCCATTAAATCAATGTCTATATCTTTCATTTTGAATAATGGCTCCAGAGTGTGGATTTTAAAAGAAATCCATATAGTGGAGCCATGTACAGATAACAGCATTTTCCTACACACCTGAGTTGGCCGGGGGGGGGGACCTTGGTGGGTTTAAACCCCATCCCCAACAGAGTATGCAAACTGACATCTCATGAGATCTTGCAAGGTCACTGTAGGCACTGTGGGACTGCTTAGCAACCAGGGCATGGGAGCCTTGGCCTAGGCAAAATTGGTGTGACTTTGGGTTGCCACTTCTCACTTGGGAAACACCTGGAGATTTATTTATTTGATTTATATTCCGCCCTCCCCGCGAGCGGGCTCAGGGTGGTTTACATCAATACTGTTAAACAATCATTTAATAACAAATTGAAACAGCATAAAATCACAAATCATAAAATACTGTGTAAAGCAATTTGTTCAGATGTCAATCAGATTTATTTGAGTATAGCAGTGGTACCCCAATGTCAAATTAGATCCAGGCCACTGGTGGTGGGTTGGCCAGGGAAAAGGAGGGACGTCCGCCACCTCAACCAAAAGCTCGGTGGAAGAGCTCTGTCTTGCAGGCCCTGTGGAACTGTAGTAAATTAGGGGTGGAGCCTGGGGAGGGTAGTAACCATTTATCCTCCAGGGGAATTGATCTCTGTTGCTTGGAGATCAGCTGTCATCCCAGGAGATCTCCAGCTCCCACTAGGAAGTTGGCAACCCTAATGTGACCGCAGGTTCGGGAGAAAGCAGCAGCAGCGGTGGGAGAAAGGAAAGTAGCAAGTGAGAGGGAGGGCGTGTAAGGAACAGAAACTTCTTCCCCCAAAGAGTGATTAACACATGGAATTCACTGCCACAGGAGGTGGTGGCGGCTACAAGCATGGATGGCTTCAAGAGGGAATTGGATAAACATATGGAGCAGAGGTCCATTGGTGGCTATTAGCCACAAGGTATAGATAGGATCTCTCAGTCTGGGGCAAGTGATGCTCTGTATTCTTGGTGCTTGGGGGGGGGGGTCAACAGTGGGAGGGCTTCTAGTCTCCTGGCCCCACTGCTGGACCTCCTGATGGCACCTGGTATTTTTGGCCACTGTGTGACGGAGTGTTGGACTGGATGGGCCATTGGCCTGATCCAGCATTGGCTTCTCTTATGTTCTTATGTTCTTAAAGTGGACAATGAGGTGGGAATTGAAAGAAAGCAGAGAACAGGGTAGAAAGGGAGTTAAAGTAGGGGACAGTGTGTGTGTGGCAATGGAATGTCCCTCCCTAGCTTGTATATGTACCTTAGGTATATGCAGATAGGTGGGTAGATAGGTGGGTAGATAGGTGGGTAGGTAGATAGATGGATGGATGGATGGATGGATGGAGTCCCAGAGGACTATAAATATGAATTTTGCCTCTGAAGCCCTTGGCCCGTACCTGACTTAGGCTTTGATTCCGTTTCCAGGGTAGCCTCCTCTTTTGGTTCCTCGTCCTCCAAGTCGTGGAGCTTTGACAGAGCTTCTTCCAGTTGCTCGTGAAGGCTTTCTGAATTTTCTTCAGCCTGCTGGGCCCGCTTTTCAGCCTCCCTGAAAAGGCAGAAATCAGGGGAAGGGGCGGCACTGAAACTGCAGCTGTATGAAAATGTCCAGTATGTATTGAGCAGCCAGTGGTTCTAGCAAACACAGTTAGAAGGGGAAGCACCCCTTCTAGATATTTGGGTACCTGAGGCTGAAAACTGCACTTCCTCCTCCTCCCACTCCTTAAAACGGGGCACCAGGGAATTCTCTCATCCAAGGCTTACTGAAAAGAACATTCATTTCAAAGGGCCTTGCAGAGGACAATGTCCCAGTGGATTCTGCCCCATGAGACAGTCTGCCCTCCCCACTTTTAGTGGCACCCAAAATAGCACTTTCCTCATTTTGCCTCCATTTTATGATGTCTTCTCTACAGGTAGATAGCCACCTTCTGTATTCTTGGGAGCCATTTTCTTCCCCAGAAAATTTTGGGAAGATGGGAAATGCACTTTTGTGCACCAACAAGCTCCTTCACGGGTTATTAGCACTAAAGCTGGCTACACAGAGTAGTTAGGACTTCACAGTTAATATGGCACACATAGATCTGAGACACACATGAGCACAGTCTTCACTTATGACCCCCCTCTTACAACCTTGGAAAGCAGTTTTCTGTCTCTCTCAGGAGGGAAGCTGCCAGCAAGCATCACACTATAAATTATAGTTACTAGGGTGCCAGTGCTGATGAAATCAGCAAATCACCAGTACTCAAAATGAGGTGGAATGGGCTAGGATGCCATCTTGCTTCTTTTCAGGTGAACCAAAAGCCATTCCAGGATGGAGCAGGGTTGCACTAGTATATATATTTTAAAAACACCTAGAAAATGTCCCATGCTTGTGCCCTTCTGGGCAGGGCAGTTGGGAAAGGGCTCTGGATGGAATTGGGGGCTCCAGGTTAATTAATTAATTACCTGTGATATGTGATATAGCCAGGAGATCCTAAGATTGTCTGGCAGCCAGAAGTTAGCAGTATACAACACAAGGTGATGAGCTAGACTGCTGGAGCCATCTCTGGACAAGACCACATGGGAATTTGCTTGGGTAACGTCTTCCATCTCACTTTGTCCAGGCAAGAGCTGTTTATGGAGTTTGGCCTGGGAGGGACAGGCACTGCAGAGGGAGGTGCTTGCAGAGTGTCCAGGGCTGGGCTTGAAGCCACCCCCAGAACCTCTCCATGGCTTGTCCCCGGTGCCACTTAACCAGGAAGCCCCACAGCCCCTCCTGAAACCCAGACAACGGGTCCTAGCTTGGGTGAGGCCGCCCATGCCAGGCTGGGCCAGGAGGACAGCGAAGCCGGTGGAAGACACTGGAATGGGTAGGGAGAAAGAGAAAACCCCAGAGATGCAGTTGGGGTGAGCAGTTGCACCGTGACGGGCTTCAGGGAGGCAGGCGACCCTGCTCATGACTCCCACCACAGCGAGAGGCTCTGGAAGGGCTGGCTCAGGTCCATGGGGCTTGGAGGGCCCTGGGCCAAAGAAACAACCCCAGGGCTTGTCAATCCAGGGTGACTCCCTTCTGGGAGCGAGGTCTGAGGCTTGCCCTGCCTTGCCCTCTCCCAGCAGGTCTCCTTGGATGGAGGAGGCGGAGTTCCAGGAGAGGCCAGGGCCAACAGGACCCAGTGGCAGCCTTGAGGACTCAACGGTGAAGAATTGAGTTACTCAGGCAGGAGGAGGAGGAAAAGGGTGAGCCAATTTCCCTCCTATTCTGAGGCTTGTGGAGCACTTGGGGTCATGGACCAGCAGGATGGTGGAAGGTGGTGTTACCCCCCCCCCCCCAGGCACGTCCTGGGTGTGACACAGAGACAAGTTCTTCCTCAGAGGACCAAAAAGTTCTCTTCCTCACATACCTGCCTGCCCCTCTCAGTACCACAAACAGCTCTGGCAAAAGAAAGGCAAGAAGATAGGATACTCCGCTGGGCTTGCCCACCCTTGCAGATAGGAAGCACACAGCAAGAATATCTGGAATCTTTTTTCCTTTGTATTTTCTCCCACGTGCCTAACTTCCAGTACTACTTCCACCTATAAAGAATCCCATACCTGATGTTACATTTTTGGCCTACCTGAAGAATCCTTATATTCCTAACACCTCGAATTTACCTGAGCAACCGTTACAAAACACGTCAGATGGATTCTGAAAAATGGGAGGAGGGTACACAGAAAGGATTCCGGCTGATCTCCCTTGGGACACCAGCTCAAGACTCCGTGCAGCTCAAGCCTAAAGAGGAACAAATGATACCCATTCCCTTTTTCTCCATAATGCTAGTAGTACTCACAGGAGCCGCTCCTCCAGAATTTCCAGTGAAGCCAGGATCTGAAATTCTTTCTTTGAGTATTTTGTGGTCCATTGGCTGGCATACAGCTCCCTCTAGAACAAGAACAGTGACTATCTTAACGGTGTGAACAGGAAATGAAGAGGAAATAAATCAGTATGATGTATGTCACATGGACCTAGTCACTTGCTTGTTTGTCTATTCGCTCTAGAACTTTATCTCTGGTCAAGTTTGGCTCAGTTCTTCCTGAAAACAGTGGCTCTGTTGTGCGTAAATTCTCTACATTTTCCACAGCGAAAACTGACACAAATTAATCCACCTTTGCGGCAATATGTTTTCCTTTAGGAATCCTTTCATCCTTTTGTTATCCACAGGATCCAACTGCCTCACAGGCTGGTTTTCTGGTTCTGATGTACCTAAAGAAATCCTAAATTTTTGTCTTCATGTCTTTAGCAATGTGCTCCTTGTATTCTCTTTTTAGCCAATATACTGCAAACTTGTATTTGTTTTGCCAGAACCTGTACTCCTTTTTGTGCACCTCATTTGGGCAAGATTTCCACTTTTTAAAGGAATTCTTCTTGCCTTTTACGACTTCCTTTGCTCATTAACCATGCTGGCATCCTTTTAAATTTGGGGGTACCTTTCCTATGTTATACTTCCTATCTGAGCTTCCAGCAGCACTGTGAGTGCTGTTCTCAGCTGGTGCAAAAACATTTACATCTCATACCAAGTCCAGGGTAGTCTCACCTCTAGTCAGCTCCAGGGTCAACTACTTTAAGGTACAATCATTTATGATATTTAGAAATTGTGTGTCTTTCTCACATCACAATGTAAGGGCAGTTGAAGGCAACCATTATTACACAAGTTGCTCCTCTGGATCCATTCCTTATTTCTTTCTTCAGGATCACCCTGAGCGTGTTAATCAGAGAGGCAACAGTATATGCCCAGTATTAAGTTACCTTTCGAGCCTCCTATTTCCACACATAGCAATTCTGTGTGGGATTCTATCCCTCTTAAGTTTTCTGTCCTCTGTGTCATACCAAACCGCTCCATCCTTCATATGTCCTCCCCTGTTCCATATAGTTTATACCCGGGAATAACCGCATCCCACTGATTCCCCACCACCACCACCACGTTTCCGAAATACCCATCAGAATCTATATTCTCAGTTATTAGCAAAAAGCACTCCAGCCTCCCCCTTCTCAGCTCAGAGGCTTCAAGTATTTGCATATAAATACCTATAATTAGTTTCCTTCCCCAAGAGTCCTTGGTACGTGCATTTCCCACTGTCGTAGTTTGGTCCCCTTAAATGCACATCATTCTCAGACGTACTTGACTATCAAGTTCTAACCTGTCCTCGTCTAGCTCATCTGGACCACTGAACCCCTTACTCCTTTAGCAAGAGTCAGTATCCTGAACCAAATGCTCTGCAGCTCCTGCTGGCTTTCCTCCCTTTGTGCCACCCGTAAGGCACATGGAGCCAGGGGTGAAAAGCCCTCCCCTGCTGTCCTTTTCACTGGTGAGAGCAGGGTGGGAGGGAAACCAGAAGCTCCCTCTCTCCCTTCACAAGTGCTTTTTAAGGTGAGTTCCCTCAACGTATGTCTGACTGTAAGATACTTCGTGCACCTGTGACATGACATCTTTCAGGAATGTTGTGACATCTGTCAGGAATGTTGTGAGAGCCAGTTTGGTGTAGTGGTTAGGAGCGCAGACTCTAATCTGGGAGAACTGGGTTTGATTCCCCACTCCTCCACGTGCAGCTGCTGGTGTGTCTTTGGGTCAGTCACAAGTTCTTTCAGAGTTGTTCTCTCAAGGGCAGTTCTCGAAAAGGTTCGCTCAGCCCTGCCTACCTCACAGGCAGAGTTCCCTCTGAGTTAGTGTGAGCTAGCTCAGAGTTTTTTAGCCTCCGGCTCACACATTTTTGTCTTAGCTCAGGAATGATGGCTCCAGAGCACACTCACTTCTGCAGTAACCAAATTGCTCACTCACAACTTTAATGCCAGTAGCTCACAAAGTAGAATTTTTGCTCATAAGACTCCACGCCTTAGAGGGAGCATTGCTCACAGGGTGTCTGTTGTGGGGAAGGGAAGGGAAAGGAGATTGTAAGCCGCTCTGAGACTCCTTTAGGTAGTGAAGGGCGGGGTATAAATCCAATGTTGTCGTCTTCATCATCTTGTCTGACTTCCTGTCTCATCCACCTACTAGGACCCCTCATCTTCACCTATTTGGCTGACCTTGCAGGTAGGAGAAATGCTACTTTGAAGTTTCTGGACTTTATCCTGTTGCCAAGAAGCCTAATCCTTTCCTCCAGGAATGTGTATCAGTGTGGGTGCTGATGTGAGCCACAACCACCAGCTCCTTTCCCACACTATCTCATAACCCATCTAGACAGCATATAATGCCCACAAGCTTTGCCCCAGACAGACAATTCACCAGGCAGTGAAAATATCCATCACAGACCTTTCTGTCTACATACCTAAGGACCGAACTACCAAAAGCCCTTGAACATCCACCCACCCCTCATTCCCAGAGGGGTATCTTCAAGAGGAATAGCTATCAGTTTGCTACTTAAGCAAAGAGTCCCTTCTGAGAGATCATTCCCCCCTTCTCACCTGGCCCCCTTCTGCTCTAAGAACCCTATTCTCCTTGAAAGCAGAGGGGCTGCCACCATAGGATGCCTCTATCACGTTCCTTGAAGTCTTATCTACCAACCACACTGCCTCCCTAAGCTTTTCTAGGTCTGGCACCTTAGCTTCAAGAGCATGGGCATATTTTCTGGGTGCCAGGGGCACATGGCATGGAGAAGACACTCAAAACAGCTGCCCAGTGTGGCAGGAGACTGTTTGCACAAAGCAAGAAGGCTGGTGTGGGAAATCTAAAGGGCATCTCTGGAACTCACTGATGAAGGTAAGGCACAGTGCCCCACAAAGTTCCCATGCACAAATCCAATTTAAAGGGACGGGAGCTGTGTAAGAGCACCCCTGAATTCTTGTGAAGTCCCTAATAATTTCAGTGATGCTTATGCAGTTGAACATGCTTCTGGAACTGTGCCACGTAGTTTAAATCCATCCAGGGATGCGTGCAGGATGGGGGAGAAAACAGCCCTGGGGGAAGGGGTATCATCCCACTGGCCCTGTCCCCTGAAAGGAGGAAGGGAGACCCTTCCCTGTCAGCCCCGAGCAGAAGGTGCCTGGTCAGGCTGCAAGGGTGCATCCAGGCCAGATGGGTGCATCCCATTCCTCGCTGTAGTGAGGCCAGGCTGAGTAGGTAGATCACAATGGGTGGAAGGGGCCGGGTGAGAACTTTCCTTGCCAGTTCATACCTTCCCCTCTCTTTGCTTTGGGATGACCCTGGAAGGGGGTGGCTCCTGGGTTGGAGTGGCCCCGGTGCTGGGGTGGCCCCTCTGGCCATCAGCCCACGGGGCCTTTATCTGGGGGCCTCAATGGCCAGCCTGCCCCTGAACCCATCTCTCCTGCTGCTGTTCTGTGTGGCACCTGAAACCTGCCAGCTAAGCCAATGGCTTCATCTTAGCAGGGCTGCCTCTGTAGAAAAGATACAAGCACTGCGCACATACCCCCGAGACTGTGACTTGTTCTGTCTCAATCGTCCTCACGTGAACATTAGAATCAGGTCCAATGTATCTGATCAACTGAGCGCCCTCCGCACTCACAGCTTCCTGATCGGTGCTTGTGCCGGACACAGGTAGTTGTTGCTGAAAGGAAAAGGGAAGAAGCGGACAGTGTAACGTTTGTATTTGTTTGTCCGGAACTGCATCCAGAACAACCGAAGTCCTCACTGAGGAAGCTCAGATTACACACACACACAGACAGAGCTAATGTGGACTAACACAATCTTTGCAAAATTCTGCAGAAGGACCCCTAGAGCATGAAAATAGGGAGGGGCTTTGGCTCAGTGGAAGAACATCTGCTTTGCATGCAGAAGGCTCAATCCCTAGCATCTCCAGTTACAAGGACCAGGTCGCAGGTGATGTGAAAGTCCTCTGCCTGAGACTCTGGTGAGCTGCTGCCTAGAGTTGCCAGCTCTGGGTTGGGAAACAACTGGAGATCTTGGGGGTGGAGCCTGGAGAGGGCAGGGTTCAATCCTCCCTCTAAGCATTGGAGTCTTGTGAGCAAAAATTCTGCTTTGTGAGCTACTGGCATTAAAGCTGTGAGCGAGCAATTTGGCTACTGCATAAACTAGTTTGCTCTGGAGCCATCCTTCCTGAGCTAAGACAAAAAATGTGTGAGCCAGAGACTAAAAGGCTGTGAGCTAGCTCACACTAACTCAGCTTAGAAGGAACACTGGCGGGGTTTGGCAATCCTACTGCTGCCAGTGTGAATAGACAATACTGGCCTCGATGGACCAACTGTCCGATTCAGTAGAAGGCAGCTTCCTGCGTGAAGCTGGAAATCAGTACCCTTGCAAGAACACAAGCAGCAGCAGCTTGGGGTGGGTGGGTCTTCCTTCCCAAGAGAACACACAGTTTACATCTAGGCAGACTAAACATTTAGTTGGGGGCAGTGTTCCCTCTAAGCTGAGTTAGTGTGAGCTGGCTCACAGTTTTATAGCCTCTGGTTCACAGATTTTTGTCTTAGCTCGGGAAGGATGGTTCCAGTCCAGAGCAAATTGATTTATGCAGTAGCCAAATCGCTCGCTCACAACTTTAATCCCAGTAGCTCACAAAGTAGAATTTTTGCTCACAAGACCCCACAGCTTAGAGGGAACATTGGTTGGGGGTTAACAGTTCTCTAGAAGAGAATTCTGACCAGAGCACCAAACACAATTCCCTGGATTCCTTGTGGGGAAGGGGCACACAAAGGGGCACACAAAAGATTTCACGACAACTAACAAATATATGCAAGTGGACCCTGCACAATTGTTTTAGTGCACTGGCATAAACCTGCACATAGTTCACACATGGAGTCCTGGCATTTCCCTTTCTGTGAAGTATCTCTGAGAAAGTCTTTACTCCCACAGAAATCTTTGTCTGCCATTTACTGGTTACCCTAACACCCAACTACCCCCCAGTATACCTTAAGAATTATTTTCTTTTTGAAAGAGCCGTATCTGGTTGCAGAGTCCTGGGTTAACCCCCCCCCTCCCAGCATGCCACTTTCCCAATGACCCCTGCCCTCTATACCTGCTATTTGCCCTACGTAGGAAAATACGTCCCCCCCCCCCCCCGATAAGTGGCAGTACAAGGAAAGTGATTTGCACTGGGGAAACAGCATGGGAGGAGGCGGAAGGCTGCCCTCCCCCAGTGTTGCTTTGCCAATCCTTGGGTGGCCATTCCCCAGGTCCGGGCGGGGAATTCCCCACCCACAAACAGCAATGCTGTGATGATATCATGCGGAAGTGATGTCATCGCTTTGGGGACGTAGCACAGCATCATGCGGAAGTGATGTCATCACTTTGGGGATGTAGCACAGCACTGCTCTGGTTATGGGGCAAAACTCTATGGTTAGACCCTGATTTTACCATAGAGTTTTGTCCAAAAGCCAGAGCACCGCCCCCTACATCACCGATGCAGTGGCATCACTTCTGGGTGATGTCATTGCATCGGGGACGTCCCCACCCACTCCCGGAACACTTCCCAGATCCCCCTGCTGGCAAGACGCGGGGGCCTGGCAACCCTCGCCAATCCTGTGGGGAGGGGATCCAATGCTGGTTCAACTAGTTTGGACCTGTCAAAAGCTTGTAAAAGTAGAGGAGGCTGGGGAAGGGTTGCCAGCTTCGAGTTCAGGAATACTTGAAGATTTCGGAGGTGGTGCCAGAAGAAGGTGGGGTTTGGGTAGAGGAGGGACTTCAATAGGGTATAATGACATGGAGTCCACCTTCCAAAGCAGTCATTTTCTCCAGGTGAATTGATCTTTGTCACCTGGAGATCAGCTGTAATAGCAGGAGATCTCCAGCCACCACCTGGTAGTTATACGTCAATGAGGGAACACAGTGCTGCTGATATGAAGAAAACACCTGGTAGCTGGCAGCCCTAGACTGGGGACAGGCTTCCAGTAGTAAGACCTTCAAGGGCACCTGACGCTACTAGCAGCACTGGAACGGCTGCTTTCACATTGCTCCTGGAAACGTTTGTGGGAAAGTGTTTACACGGGCAGGGGGAGCAACGCTGTTCCTTCTGCACCAAGTTCATCAGCTGCTGATAGGAAAGAACAGTGTTGCTGGCCCTGCCTCCATCATCAACTCTGATACTATTCACACATCTCCAGATTTTTCTCCAGTTATGAGGACAAGCATATCCTTTTCTCCCCCACTGAGAAAAACTGCAGCCTTAAATTCTCAGAATGCCAGATCTAGCAGCGGGTATGAGATTTGGTTCTTAGATGGTAGGTATACAGCTGTGAGACAGAAAGAAGAGAAACTGTCCCGCCCTTTCCCCACTGCGGAAGCTTACCTGTGTTTCCGGCACTTCCGTCTCAGTCACGGGCTCCTTACTGCCAGATTCCTGAACTTCGTCTTTCTTTTGCTCCTCTGGAGCCTCTTCTCCTTCCTCTGGAGAGGTGTCCCTTTCCTGCTCTGGGTGAGGCGGCAGTTGGGGTTTCGGCCGGAGCGCCTGAGTAGAAGCACCAAAAAGCTGCTAAGGTAGAATTCGTATTCTGAGATTTTTGCTCCAATCCAAAAAAAGAGGCAGTTCCAGGAGTGTTTAATTTTTAAGAGGTTGATAAAACATATTTGTTTCACAAAATAAAATGGGGTGAGGGACAGAGAGAGAGAGAGAGAGAGAGAGAGAGAGAGGCCGGTTGCTGACATCATTTGCTCGATTTTCATGTGCTCCCTATTACTGGCTCACTGGTGTTTTTGATTGGTGACTTTAACTGTATGATTGAATGGTCAAAGGGGGCTTGATTGTGTTTCACTACAGGAAGCTGCCTCAGGGATCTTCCTGGATCAAAAGTTGCAGCAGAACTTATATTACTACATTTACATAAGGGGGTTCGTTTTGACAGAGGCCCATTCTACATTTAAACAGTGTTAGGTACCAACTCTGTGATCATCAGCATCTTGTAAGGGACAATAAGGAAACAGGCAGTTTACTAGTTTAGGCTGGCTGGTCTTGGACAGAGTAACTATGAGGGCAATTTCTGCCATTATTTCAGCGATGCCCTTTGCATATTTATATCCTGCCTTTCTTCCATGAAACCCAAGGTGGCTGGGTTCCCAGAAACTGCCCATCCAGGCACTAGACCCAGATCTCTTTGGTTTAAGCAAAAGTGAAGACACTGTATGTCTTCAGAGCATGCCCAGAGGCTATCCACAGAAGCTAGATGTACAACCCAATATTCTATCACAATCTAGCACGGGGCTTAGCCAACCCCCCAGCACGTGAGCCACATAAGCAGCATGCCAGACTGTTCTCTTCAGCACAGCGGCTCCTTTGCTCTATCCCAAAAGCAGGGGTGCACCTGAGATGAGTGGAACAGGCACGGGTCACAGCTAGGAGGTGGGAAAGTAGGGCTGGAAGACAACAGGGTCCTGAGGAGGGGGCCCCAATCCTGCAGAGCAGTGGTTGTTTAACATTAGGATTTGGAGTACGGTAGAAGTGAAATTGGAAGTCTGAGTTTAAACTCTCCCATTGATGCCCACCATACCCCTACTAGGATCCTACTCACAAAGCATCATTTAGGACCAGACGTTACATAGGTACAGTTTCCATCCATTGTAGTCACATTCCCAGAGTGCTTATGCCAAAAGCAACACCAGTGGCATTTCTTATCAACAGTTCTAAAGTAGTCCTTTTTTCCCATCATATCACAGCTGACATGGCAACCCCATAGGGTTTTCAAGGCAAGAGACGTTCATTGCTTGCCTCCACATCACAACCCTGGACTTCCTTGGTGGCCTCCCATCCAAGTACTAACCAGGGCCAACCCTGCTTAACTGCTGAGATCTCGGGAGATTGAGCTAGCCTGGGCTATCCAAGTCAAGGCTATCCAGGTCAGTCCTTTAGGTAAAGGTAAAGGTTTCCCTTGTTCGAAAGCCAGTCAAATCTGACTCTAGGGTTGCGGTACTCATCTCTGTTTCCAAGCTGAAGAGCCAGCGCTGTCCAAAGATGCTTCCGTGGTCATGTAGCCGGCATGACTAGACGCCGAGGTGCACGGAATACTGTTACCTTCCCACTGAAGTGGTACCTATTTATCTACTTGCAATTTCTTGCTTTAGAACTGCTAGGTTGGCAGGAGCTGGAACCAGAGACGGGAGCTCACTCCGTCATGCGGCACTCGGGTCTCGAACTGCTGAACTACCGACCTTCCAGCCTGCAGCTCAGCGTCTTAACCACTTGAGCCATCATGCAAAAAAATAAAATCTATATACTACATATGCAAAGTGTCTGGCCAAGTACAGCTCTTCTCTCTCTCCCCTGCTTTTAGTTGCTGGCTCATCAAGACCTTCATAGACCAATGTTCTGAGGGTGTTTTTTTGTTCTGTTTTTGCCAGATGGGACCAATAAGGTTGCGCACCCCTGCTCCTGCACAGCCAAGAAAAGGAATCCAGATAGGGTTATGCTCCATGAAAAAAATCACTCTCTCATATCTCTCCTAGTCAGAAAAATTAGAGCACCAATAGTTGATTACAGAGTGTTTAACATTTTTAATACAAGTATTTATAAAACTATGGTAACAGGTGAGATCTGGAAAGCGGCATTTCTTCACTGCCCTCACACAGGGAGGAATGCCCCTTCGAAGGCACCCTGCAGGATGTTTCACGGATTTCAAGACAGTGGGTGCTTTCAGGTATCGCCCTTTCTTCTAATTAAGCTATGTTCTTTTTAAAAAACATATAGAAAATATTTCTTAAAAAATAAATTATATAGATTTATTACTGTCTTAACATTCCCGTTGCTTCTAAAAACTTAAATATGCCCTTTTCCTACCATTTGAAGCAAAGGTTCACTCTTTAAATACCTCTTCCCCAAACAGGGTGATGAGCTCCTCTGTGCTGATTAAAGTGGTGGGCGTGGTCTTCATTCCAGAGAGCAGGATATTGCAAGTTTGGATCCAGTCGAGGCATTCTGTCTGAAGAAAGATGGGGGGGGGATTCATTCTTCTGTACCTTTGCAGCCTGAACTATGGTCTTCTTCCAGAGTTCTCAGACAGGGCGACTTATGCTTTGGAGTAATAGTGCCCAAACTTGTGAAACTATCAGCACAGTTGCCAACTGCTTGGAGAAAAAAATGTCCCATCCGTGTAATATCAGTGGACCAAGATGTTATTTACCAGGTGAAGTTATTTACCCCAATCCATAAAAAGTTTCAGCTGTTCATTTTCATGCATTAAGCTTCCATTAATGTGATAGGACAATTTTGCCAGGCACTTTGGCCTTCACCTAATTTACTGTTAGAGCCCAAAAACCTTACATGGTTTCATGTGTTCCATCCACACACAAGCACATATCCCTGTATTTTTGGTGTCCATTATGGCCAGCATCAGCAGTGCACTGAGTCACGCACTTGACAGTACTGTTGCCAACTTCAGCTTGGGAAACTCCTGGAGATTCGGAGGTAAAGCTTGCAGAAGGCAAAGTTTGGGGAGGGGAGGTAGCTTAACAGGGATGTGGCTCCATACAGTCCATCCTCCGAGCTGCCACTGGTTTGATTTGTGTAATTTGGAGATCTGTTGGGATTCCAGGAGACCTCCAAGTCCCACTTAAGAACATAAGAGAAGCCAAGGTTGGATCAGACCAATGGGCCATCCAGTCCAACACTCTGTCACACAGTGGCCAAAAATACCAGGTGCCATCAGGAGGTCCACCAGTGGAGCCAGGACACTAGAAGCTCTCCCACTGTTGCCCCCCCCCCCCAAACACCAAGAATACAGTGCATCACTTGCCCCAGACTGAGAGTTCCTATCTATACCTTGTGGCTAATAGCCACTGATGGACCTCTGCTCCGTATGTTTATCGAATTCCCTCTTGAAGCTATCCATGCTTATAGTCGCCACCACCTCTTGTGGCAGTGAATTCCATGTGTTAATCACTCACTTGTGGATTAGCAATTCTACTTGCCAGGCCCAGATACTATCGGGGTGCCTGCTCTCTAGCCCCATCATTCTCTTCTCTGCTAGTACACAACAGTCTCCAAGGTGCATTTGAGGCAGGAATCTGTGATGCAATCTACAGGCTTACATTTCATAAATATATGCACACCATGTGCCTGGGAAGGAAAAGCTTTTGCCCTGCAAGTGTCTTCCTGGAATCTCATATGTTTTCAGACTGGCTGTGACCATGCTGTAATCAACAGCACTGTCATCTCCCCACCCAATAACCTAAGGCAAAGGGCACACAAAAAGCTGGCACCAATTCTGGCTCTCAGATGGCACCCGCTCCACCACCACCACCGCATTCGGCAAAGGGCACACAAAAAGCTGGCACCAACTCTGGCTCTCAGATGGGCACCCGCTCCACCACCACCACCACCGCATTTCCCAGTGCCATATAGAATCAACCCATTCCCCAGACAGTACCCAGCTGCAACTTCCAGTTACCACCTGAAACAACTTCAAGACCTTAAGTACACACCTCCACTTCTTCCTGATTTCTCCTTCCCCATCCCCCATTTCCATAAAATAATTCCATTTGCCGCCTCCAGAATAATTCTTAGACATTTTTGCCTCACTTTGTAGTCACTTCTGTCACAACTTTTTGGCCTCTCCCTTTTCTAACTGAGGATGGGCTGTTACAATTTGCTCCCCATATCAGGGTCTTCCTGGGTCCTATCATGGTTTTTGCTCAGTTCTATAGGAACAGGACTTCTCTGAACAGGGACTTCTCTGTACATGCTTAGTGATACTATCCTGTGGGTTAGCAGTTAGCAACTGTAGTAGAATCAGATTTCCTACTGTGTAACCTGAAATTGCTTGGCTGTAAACTGGCTACTTTGTTGTCGTTGTTTGTTTTTTGCTTTCCTTTTACAAGTTATATTTCACATCTGGGCAATTCTAAGCGAATCTCACACCATTTCTATAAACAGGGAAGCCTTACAAAATACACAAGTTGCGTGCAACCTATAGATAAGCATTTGACAGCTCATTGCCGAGAACAGCCCAAAACCTGTCCACAAATTGCAAGCACCAGCCCAGTTGCTCCAAGAGGAGGAAGCGCTCACGTACTGCTGGATCCAGAGAAGGAGCACCACCCCGTGAGCACAGAGAGGCCCAGGGGCAACTGTGAAACCCCAGGTATTAATAGAAGCAAGTCCTGACTTCAACTTCTCCTTTGGAACAATCTCCTTTCACACTCTTCAGGTGCCCAGCAGGTTATGCTGAACAGATCAGCCCTCATTCCATCCTGCTCCTCTCTTTCTCAGTTATCCATGCCTGAAGAAGACCTTCTTAAGACTCAAAAGCTTGCAATGATTTCAAAGCAACTAAGCACTGGTCCAAACAAAAGTATTGGTTCATCTGTTCTAAGTTTCGCTCTTCTGGAAGGCCTATGTCAAATCCCCACATCCCAGGAGAGCATTTGAGACGGTCCTGTTTAAAAAAGAAAGCAGAAGAGTGTATGAGGTCTTACCTTGATCTTCTCCAACTGTCTCAATTCATATTCTGCATCTGGATCATAATTAGCCAATTTTTTACGCGTTATCGATGCAACCATGTCCTTGCAGCAGCTGAGAAAATAGATCATGCCATGGAAGCTACCGTGAGACGAATTGTTAAAACATACTATGCTGACATGAAAGCCAATTGTATTTCTGTGCCTTTGCTTCAAGTTACTATTTATTTATTGTCTGAATCCCTTCTTGGCTATGGAAGCTTGTTGGGTGACCTTAGGCCAGTCACTCACTATCAGCCTAACCTACCTCATAGGATTGTAGTGGGGATAAAATAGAGAAGGTGAGAATGTTGTAAGCCACTCTGGGTTCACCGCTGGGGAGAAGTGTGGAATATAAATGAAGTTAAAAAATAGTTACTGGCCCCCGTCACACAGGGGAAATTGGCGTGGCCAAAGTGCGGCTTTTTAGAGCTGCACCAAAAGAGACATGTGGCGGCGGGATCAGACAGATCCCCTGAGCCGCCGTGCAGTTCCTCCCCGGCACGATCAGATACCGGGGGGGGGGGGGGGGGGCGGAGGGGAGG